GCCAAGCTCTGGAGACTATGTGGACACTGTAGTTACCCTAGACAGTGACTTTGATCCCTCTGGGGACAGCCTGTCTTGCAATGGCACAGAAAGCATTCAGACCTACACACGCAGGAAAGCCGAGGCGGGGGCATTCCCAGGAAACCTGGGTGTAGACTCCAGCAAGCCGGGGGGCAGCAAAGACCTTTCCCTGAAAGGCAGGAGAACAGTGAAGCGGCTGCCCCTGAAAGCCACCAAAAAGCTGGGCGAGGTGGCAGGCAGTGTCGGGGCCCTGAAAGCAGATGCGATGAGGCGGATCCGGATGGCAACCCAAGTGACAGGCAGTGAGGCAGATGAGCGGCCTTACAAGTGTGTGCAGTGTGGGCGGGCCTTTAAGAAATCCAGCAACCTGCTGAGCCACATCGATACCCACAGTGGGGCCAAGCCATATGCCTGCGAGCTGTGTGGCAAGGCCTACTCCCACCAGGGCACACTGCAGCAGCACCGGCGGCTGCACACAGGTGAGCGCCCCTACAAGTGCCCCTTCTGCATCAAGGCCTACACCTGGTCCTCAGACTACCGCAAGCACATCCGCACGCACACAGGCGAGAAGCCCTACCAGTGCCTGGACTGTGAGAAGGCCTTTGTGCGCTCTTCTGACCTGCGCAAGCACCAGCGCAACATGCACAGCAATGACAAGCCCTTCCCCTGCCCAGACTGTGGCAAGACCTTCAACAAGCCACTGTCCCTGCTGCGCCACCAGCGCACCCACCTGGGTGAGAAACCCTTCCCATGCCCCGACTGTGGCAAGGAGTTCGCCGTGGCCAGTCGCATGGTGGAGCACCAGCGGGTCCACACTGGTGAGCGCCCCTTCTCCTGCTCTGTCTGCGGCAAGGCCTTCACCAAGTCCTCCAATCTCTTCGAGCACCAGACGCTGCACACAGGCCAGCGTCCTTTCAAGTGCTCTGAGTGTGGCATGGCCTTCGCCCAGTCCTCCCGCCTCATCCGCCACCAGCGTATCCATACTGGGGAGCGTCCCTTTTCCTGTGGCCAGTGCGGCCAGGCCTTCGCCCGCTCCTCCACTCTCAAGCGGCACCAGCAAATCCATAGCGGGGAGAAAACCTACTTGTGCTCGGACTGTGGCAAGGCCTTCCGGCACGCCTCCCAGCTCACCCAGCATGCGCGGGTGCACACAGGCGAGAGGCCCTACAGATGCTCCCAGTGCAGCAAGGCCTTCACCCAGTCCACCCACCTTGTCCGCCACCAGGCCAAGCATGGCATCGGGAAAGGGGAGCCATTCTCCTCCAATGAATGAGCCTCTTTCCTCTGGAGGGGAGGTGGGGGCAGCACCCCTCCTCCCCCATCTGCACAAGAAGGCTGGCTCCCTGTCAGCAGGATTAGCCTCTCCCCCTACTAGAGAAGCACTTTGCTTTGGACACTACTTTCTCTCTCTCCTGATTGCTTGGAGGGGTCTCAGCCTTTCCCACTGAACCCCATGAAACTGGGGCACAGATGGGAAGGCAAGCCAGTGCAGCTCCTGGTCAACCAGGCTTTGGAGACTCATTCTTCCTCCTCTTTTAGGGCAGCAGATAAGCCAGGGAGCAATAAGTATCAGCATAAAATAAAGCTTCTTGAAATAGGCTCTCTCCCAATGCAGGGCTGAAAACCACAAAAATGAGCTGAACCAGGCAGAGAGAAATAGGAGAGTGAACCGTGTACAGCAGTATAGATCAGGGGTTGTTCTCAAAAGGAGCTGCTCGCTAACCAGAAAATGTGTTTTCACCAATGCACAGGAAAAGAGCCCAATCAAAGCTACATTTGCCTACCTGTAATAGGGGCAGGGGAGTAAGGAGAGCAATTACGAAGAATGTTTACACCTTATTCATCTGTCCAGTCATGCAATTCAGTTCTCTGCCAAGATCTCCCTGATGGGCAAGGGCTGAGAACCCATCACCCACTGACTGATATGCCACAAACCTGTTTTTCTTCCAGAGGATCTCATGCCCATTCCTCTGTACCCCCAAATGTAGGCCTATTCTGAAAACTGACTAGATAAGAAAAAGGCAGTGCTACTCCTTTTGTGTTGATTTAGAACTGCATCTGCAGACTTCAGTGACAAAACAGCACTTTTTTTGCACCTGTTTGCCCTCCAGACCAGCTCAGTTAAGGAAGTGTGAACTGTAGTCTATCATAGCTCATGCTTCGCTAGCAGAATTATTTAATGAGGGCTAGTCTATATGCAGAGATTGCACAGATTTCACTGACTTAATTTAAACAAACAAACAAACCAGTTAAAGTGATGAGTAGGCAAGATCTAAATTCACCAGTGAAAGGCCCGGGAAAGAAATGGACTAGAACAAGGATTACTTGGGTCACATTTCATGGCCAAAATCTTTGTTACTGTTGATTACTGGCAAAAACGCACAAGAAGAGAAAAAAATGTTCTGAACACTGAGAGCCCAGGTGATGTCTACAAGGCCACAACTACAAAATACAACACTTTTAGTTAAGCACACTGCACACGGAATTCACCAACAGACTATAAACAAGGAATCTCATACTGTCGTTTTTGGAGAGAGACTTTTCAAAGCAGAATTGCACTTTGCAATGTTGTTATAGAGATATGTTCCTTAAGATGTCCCAGTGTACAACTTCTTGATATAAGCAGCTTTCCAGATACCTGACAGATGGTGCCATTTACAAATATGAAATTTCAAATGCAAAAGTATATGGTACATATGTATTATTATAGGATAATTATAAACTAAAGCACTGACAACATTATGATCTTACCAGTCTGTTGTTAAAAAAAGGAAAGGAAAGGAAAGGAAGGGGAAGGGGAAGGGAAAAATAAAGAAAAGGGAGGCAGAGGGAAGAAAGTACTATTTGTAGCTGTGCTGACTCCAGCTGGGTGAATAATTGATATGTTCCCTGATGCTTTATACAACAATTTTCTAGTGAAAGCAGAGATATTTGGTGGCAAATACAGACTTGGCCAATTTCTGGAATTAATAGCACAGGATCAGACACCAGATTAACCGAAGACAGCTCTATCAGTGATATGAGTCAGCAACCTCCCACTGCTCAGTTCTGCATGTGCAGTATTCATAATTCCTCGTGTTTCTCCTTTCATAACATGTATGTCCCAAGGCTCTTACCTGCAACAGCAATCCCAAATAAGCAGTCGTAGCTTCCTGACTAAGCTGATGTCTCAAGTCCCCTCTCCAGACTGGTTTGAATTCTGCCAGTTTAACTTCACAACCAGAAAAAGACTCTAATATCAAGTTGACTTTGACTCTGCTTAATTAGGTACCAATTAGGGCTGTGCAAAATGGCAGTGTTCTGTTTCGACCAGTGTTTCGATGGAACAGCGTTTCGTTTCAATTTTGTTTCGATTTGAAACAGCTGTTCCGTTCTGTTCTGTTCTGTTCTGGTCAAAACAGGGTCGAAACGGCGAAACTGTTTAGATGTTTCACCCATAGGATATAATGGGGAAGGACAAAACAGCCTATAACTTTGTCATTTCTGGCTTGATTTGAATGAAACTTGCAGGAATGGTAGCCCTATCTGAGGGCATGAAGCCTGCCAAGTTTCAAAGAGGTAGGTTTGGGGGAAACTGTACCTCAAGCTGCAGACAAGCAAAACTCGTGACATGGGTGACAGTGTGTGTGTGTTAAGGCACAGCAGGGTGAAAGCTGCAAGCCTGCTAGCCCCTGCTATGGCCACGAAGCCTGCCAGCTGTCAAGGAGGTAGGTGCAGGGGTGTCTGGGTTCTGGGGCCCTGCACCTCTAGCTGCTGACAGGCAAAACTCATGTCATGGATGCTTGTGCAACCATGTCTGTCTTGGGGCACAGGAGGTGGGGAAACTACTGCAGGCCAGGCTGCTAGGCCCTGCTGCAGCCACAAAGCCTGCCAGCTGTTAAGGAGACAGGTGCGGGGGGGATCGGGGGCCCTGCACCTCTAGCTGCTGACAGGCAAAACTCGTGACATGGGTGCTTGTGCAACTGACTGTGTCTGTCTTTGGGCAGAAGCAGTTCCCAGCTCTACCGATTCTTTCCTCTCCTTAGTCTGTGGTTTCCTAGGTGTTAATTCTTGCTCATTAACTCGTTATGCTAGCTAGCTACTGTGTTAGGCAATCAATCATGATTCACTCAGGGACCAGCTCAATACACAGCTGAGCTCCTTGAAACTTAACAGGCTTTGTGGCCTCCACAGGGGCTAACATACCTGCAGTTTTGACCCCACTGTGGCTTAACACACATAACACAGGTTTTGCTTTCAAAACTTTGGGGTGCAGTTTCCCCGAACCCCCTGCACCTATCTCCTTGAAACTTGGCAGGCTTCATGCCCTCAGATGGGGCTACCATTCCTGCAAGTTTCATCCACATCAGGCCAGAAATGACAAAGTTATAGGCTGTTTCAACCTTCCCCATTATAGCCTATGGGCAAAGCATTGAAATGGCAAAATGTTTCAACTTGCCTCGTTTGGTTTTGAGGCTGTTTCAACTACATCTGTTCATTTTGATGTTGTTGTTTCGACCTCGAAATGGGTCAAAACAGTGTCAAAACAAAACTGGCGGTGAAATTTCACATAGCCCTAGAAATTATGCCAACTGGTACTAACCAGTAGGTATAATTTGGTCCCCTAATTAAGCAGATGCACAAAGTCAACTTGATATTAGAATCTCTGTCTTTCTGGTTGTTAAGATAAACCAGCAGAATTCAAACCAGTCTGGAGAGAGGCAGCATGAATGTGTGTACTATTGCTTCTTAGAGCTCTATTGGATAGCTGAGCAGGGGAGATCCACTGCTCTTTCAGAAACTGGTGGGCAGCAGTGTAAATGTCAGGAATCTTGTCTATTTTATGGTTTTTGGGAAAGCTGTTAATGGAATAAAAGAGAGATGACACTGGAGTCATTCAGCAGGGAGAAGAAAGAGATTGTGGGAAACCCACTTCCTCTCTTCCTCCTCGCAGCAGCTAAGAAACTAGGCAAGATGTATCAGAGACTTACCTATTGCAACAGCTAGAGGATTCTAGAGCAGTAAGATAATAGCCAAAGCACTTTCTGTCCCTCCCACTAGCTAAAGAGGGGGACAAATTTATCAGGCATCTCCAAGCAATGCTGCCTCATAAATAGGGTGCAAGGAAATAACCTGGTAAAACGATCCGAGCTCCTTTCCTCCCAACTGTGTACTTTGTGGAGTTGCATCTTGTAAGCAACTGTCTCTTCATCTGGTGCACATACCGCCAGCTAGTAATTTTTTTCAGTGCTGCACTGTCACTCTAGGGAGCCTCTCTGCCCACGCTCCCCTTTCACATTTTGCAGATGTACACATGGACCCTTTCTCATTACAGCTGCCCCAACACTTCTCTGTCTCTGCTTTGTGACAGAAAGGATGAACAATCTGCAGCAGTTCTTTACCCAGCCACTCAGTGGGAAGAAAGAGCACACAACACCTAGAAGAGTTCCAGTCTTCTTCTCCCCCACACCAAAAGTTAAAGGTTCCAGGTTGAGTTCAGAACTTGAGTCCCTTGGTTGGCAGTGCATTGCTCTACTCAGACAACTATCAACACACCTCACTGAAGAGGGGCTTTCATTTATTTCCTCTCTCTGCCATGACTGACTACTTTTTGGCTCTAAAACAAAGCTGGAAGGCACTGCAGAGCCTCTTGGTATCACTGCCATCTACTAGAAGACAGCAAGGGGATCTGATGCTGCAAGACATATACTACCTCCTGCACAATATCAGTAGCCCAAGAATGAAGGCCAACGCTATAGTGGATGCATATTGCTCTGACCTCTGTATTCCTTTGTTTCATCTTTATGTTTCTGCTCTTTTGCTGTACTCAAGAATTAAGATCCTGTGGGATGGCATATTATACCAAAATGGAAATGTATGGAAGAAGGGCACTAAAGTGACTCAGTCTATTCCCAAAGGTACGGTGGGATCCTTCAGGCCCTTTTATTATAGTTCCATGTGTTTATCTTGAGAGCAAAGCTGCACAACAGAAAAAACAGGCTTAGTCTGATAACTCTTCCTAATGAGTGCAACTCTTGATGAGAATAGAGCAAATGATCACAAGAAAGTCAGGAATCAACAGGAATAAACCATCAAAGAAAAAAAGGGTTAAAAGAAAGGGAAGTTCATGGTGAACCTCAGATTAACTTGAGCACTCCGTGCAGAGTTTCCATTAAGGAAACAGTGAAAACTGCTAACAATTTGCCTCCACAAGAGAAAAATGCCTCTTTAATAGAGAGGGAGAGAAAAAGAGGCTATGACAGATGAAGATAAGCCTCCATTTTCCCCTAACTGGGGTTGAGAAAGGAAGCCAGACCCTACCAGGAAATAACTTTAATCGTTCTCATTGTGCCGGGTGGCAGGATGATGACAGAGGCTCTTTCTTGCCCGTAGGCCAGAACTGAGTTACCAGGTACTATTGCTGAGGAGGAATGCTCCTGGTCTCTGCACTTGACAGAATGCTTCCTGTGACACATTGTCTATGGATCGCTAATTCTGCCCTTCATGCTGAAGCAGGTGGGGGACTGCACAGAACCACCCCCTGACTGGACTATTTGGATACACAGTACTGTTTGAGGCATGTAAATATCTGTAAATGATGGCAATAATAGTAATAAATGTGCTTGTATTGTAACAGTGTAATCACTGCCAAGGACTGGCTGGGGGTGGAGGGGGAATCCAGTTTTAATTTTTTTCACACTTGAAAAGGCTGCTGCTTATGATCATTACAAACAGGTGCTGTAAGATACGATGTGGACCATGAGGAAAATAACATATCTAGGGCTGTGGATGTTGTTTTGTGTTCCTATGAACTCCCCAATGCCCAAGCTATTTAAAGCTGTTATGTCTCAACCTAAGACACCAGAAATAGTCTATTACCACTCAGGCATCCCCATGAGTAGCTTAAAGGAATCAGGCTCTCATGCTTTCAGCTGACATGTTTTGCTGTGTACCTTATTAAATATAGGTGTATTTACAGACACAGTCTTTCAATCTCTAATATTGTCCTCAACAGCATATGCATTTAAGCATGTTCAGAAGTGCACAAGGCCATGAAAACATGCAAGTAACCATAGTTGTGTTTCTGTAGTTTACAGACATGAACACAAGGTGCCAAATATAACCCACTGCTATGTCTTGGTATGCACATCTATAAAAGGCTCAAAGGGGCAGGTTTTTAAGTAGATTTGTAACCAGGTGGTAGCAATGCTGGTTCTATGCTTAGTGACCAGCCACAATATAGATGACATGGTTCCTGACTCTATATATCATTTTCATTCTGATCCATGAATGACTGGTGCCTCCTGAGATTGTGGGGGTACAATTAGTGGGCGTCAGTGGGGTGGGGGGCAAGAGGCGACTGCCCGCAGAAGCCAGCGGCAGTGGCCGATCTCAGGGGGACATGTGCCCCTCCTGCCTCCCTTCCCCCTCCCCATGAGCTGCCTATCTCCTGATCACAAAAAGGAATGTGACATAATTGTAAGGCTGTATCTGGATTCAGACATGATGTATCAGTTTTGTAAATGGGACCAACTAACCATCTCTCTGTACCCAGGTTTTCCTGTGCTCGTACCTTCCAGGTCTCTGTGAAGGAAGCTTCTCACAAAGTGCATGGCACCATGTGAAAAACACCCATAAATCTCTGGACTGGGCACCAGCAGCTGTGGCAGTGTGGCATGAGTGTCCAGATTTCCCCACTACAATCATGGTTTGTAGCATGGTAAGCACTAACATATCATTGTGCCAAGGAAAATGCTGCCATGTGGATTCAATGAACTATGTGATTATCTCAGCACACAGGTCAGAGCCTGGATATATTTGTACTTCAGAAAGAGCCTTCTTATTCAGGCTCCTGGAACTGGTTTTTGCACAAAGGCGGTGAACAGAGTCCAGGAAGCAGGTAAGTTCATTCTTGTTCAAAAAGAAAAAGATACAAAGATGGAATCAAATACAGTTAATGATTTCAAAGCTTTTGAATGTGTGCATTACTATATAAATGCTATTTATTACCCTCAAGAGATAAGGACACCCATTACATTTAAATTTGAAGTCTGGAGTTGATGGGTAAGAACAATGTTGGATGCTCACCTGATTTCCTGTCCTCACTGAATAAAATGGCAGACCTGCTACAGACCTGAAGAAGAGCACTTCATGGCCCAAAGCTTGTCCAACAGTTTTCCTAACTAATCAAGTTGGTCTAATAACCGCTATGGAAAATCCTTGCCTCTCAAAAATAAAGAGGGAGCACACATCATTTGTAACACTTAAAAAAGCAAGAATCATTAAATCAAATTGCATAAAAATCATAGAAAATTAGGGTTGGGAGGGACCTCAGGAAGTCATCTAGGCCAATCTCCTGCTCGAAGCACAACCATCCCCAACTAGATCATCCCACCCATGAGTTTTTCTAGCCAGGACTTAAAAACCCCCAAGGATGGGGATTCCACAACCTCTCAGGCTAACCTATTCTAGTGCTTTACTACCCTCCTAG